CCACAAGTGTTGATAACTAGCCACCCTCTAGACTTACTCAGTGTGTCCTACTACAGTTTACCCTGTCATTTGTGGAAAAGTTTCCAACCCTTTTCATCACATTCAGCCTTCATCACATTCTAATTTGGAATATATTTCGCCTCTGTATTATCTGAGCTTTCAAAGAGTTGTGTTATCACTATGGCTTCTCCTTCGCTTAAAAATACAAAACAAACTAAAAGGAACATTCTGCTACTCAGAAAGAGCTGGGATATAGATGAAATTTGCACTACAGATACATCTCGTGAAAGAAATAGGCCAGATAGTGTGAGAATTCCATCAGGCTCCACAAACTGCTCACCAGAAACACAATGTTTAACATACTCTCATATACCGAAAGTACATAAAGATGGGAAAGCTCCAAACTTGCTGTTCTTCTTCTTGTAAGACTTAACAGGCTTGTAACAAAGAACTGAGAACAAAATACACGAAGGGCTTCCAAAGTTTGGTGGTTTGTTTATTCCTAGAAAATCCGTAGGGAATGAAATATTTCCAATTTACATGGTTCAAGAATCGAGATGGCTTCTCCCACTGAAACAGAGCTTGCCCAGACACCGTGCTGGTGATCTCTGAGGCTCAGGAGAGCTGGTTTTACTTCTATTTTTAATAACTCAACTGCCAAAGGACTGAACAACCGCATATTGATAAGTCTAACTTTCACCAAGATGGATATATCCATTGTGGATAAACACAGGCATTTCCACTGCCTCCCGAGATCTGTGCGTTTGAGTGAGTAGATCGAAGAACTGCAAACTAAGCTTTTCATTTGCCTGCACATTTTATCTCTAATATGAAGTTATAAACCAGTTGCATAGGACAAAGAAGAAATAAATGCATTCATTGCTTTCCTGGAAAAAAAACCCCTCTGGTTTGGACTGTCATACTTTAAAAGCTAAAAATACTATGTATTCCTTAAAGGACCAGAGATGAATTTAATCAAGAAAACAATATTCAAAGTGAGTCTCAAAGTATTACCTTATACAGGAGCGTAAATTAGAAAAATCTGCAAAATTTCAGCTTCTCACAAAATCTGGAATAGCCTATATTTATTAACACTGAAGAGGAACAGCAGTGAAACTTTAATTTAGCTGTTGGCTAAAGTCGTATCAGTAGAACAGAGAAAATCAACAATGCGCTTATAAGTACACATGCACGTGGAAAAAGCAGACACCTTTAATAGGATACATATTTTAAGTAGTATTTTTAACAAGTTGTATCTTCTATTCATGCCACCTTAAAAATGTGCTCGATTTTGTTGCCAGAATAGCTGATGCATCTTACAGTTCCACGCACAATATACACATTCAAATATATGGTGAATTGGAGAAGGGGAGGGGGATTCGGTGGTTGCCTGCAATTGTGCAAACAAGTATTTATTCTTTCTTTTTTAAAGGGAGACTGGTTAGAGTTTGGAGATACATAAAAATAAATTATTTGTTTCCTAGCTATGTATTTTTCCTTACTGCAGGTTTACCCATCGTGCTAGTCACAGTTCAAGTTCTGTGTGAACAACAGAAAATGGCTGTCGAAAATGTTTCTCACGTGAATGTTCATTTATAAATTAATTTCTCATCCCCTTTAAGCTGCTAGTGAAGGTCTTTTTTAACCCCACTTTGGTTTTTTATCCACATAGCCTTACTTAAGCAGGACACACACACAGAGAAGAAATATAAATATATTTTGCAGACGGCCTTTTCTATTTTGTATATCCTTCCCATCTAGCACACATAAAAACCCAAAAGGAATGCAATCATTAACTTGTTACTTCACTCATTAGGAATTTGGCTCAGAAGGGTTCAGATGGAAAGCACTTAATCTGTAACAAGCATTAGAGAATTGAACATGGCACTGCAAGAGCTCAGAAACGTCCCTTTACAAAGAAAGGCTACATTTGCCTGCATTTTGTTCCATTCACCAATGTGCCAGTTCATAGTTTTTCCCCATGAATTATTAATGAATCATTGTGAACAGGCAGGAGAAAAAGGAAATAAAACATGTAAAATTAAGCCTTTAAATATTTTTCTCCCCCTAGGTGTAACAAGAATTCAGCTAGGAGAACTCCAGGCAGCGCCTAAGGACGTGGGGATGGTAGCGGAAATAGTCCGAATTTACTTGTTTGGATCTCCCAGACAAGCTTGTAAACAACTTCTGGTTTGGAAATCTTGTAGTTTGTAGACCAGCGAAATCATCTGACGAAAGGGAAGGAAAAAATTAACGCTAAGACCCGTTACCTTCCTGTGAACTGACTGAAAAAACGCTGCTGGCATCATGGCACCCAATGGGCAGAACACATAGTCATGCAGAGCAGAAAAATACTGAGAAAATAAGCTGTGCAAGTAATATCTGGTAAAGACTGACATTTTTAGTTCCCATGGAGTCAGCAAAAAAAAGGACACTGCCCAGTTCTGGTTAGCAGAGAATTCTGAGAAAAGCGGGTTTGTAAAGAAGTGATGAACAGGGAAGGGCTGTTCTTGAACTCTTCCACATATATTCATTTACACATGTGTTGTGTACACACCAAAGTGTTGTCTCAGCCTTAAAAAAAGCAGGGGAGCAATTCTATAATATTCCCCACAGGACTGTTTTATTGCTATTGAAGGCTGTCATACTTCAGACTAAAAGCTCTGTAAACAGTATGAAGACTTTTGCCACTTTAATTGTGATATTTGGGTAGAAGTCTTTTAATATTCTTCTTATATCTCAATGAACAACATGACTGACACAGTCATCTGCTCAGAAATTCAAATTGTTAATTTTTATGCAGTTTTTAACAGAGAGGTTATAGGGGGACCTCAACTGAACTTCCAGATGTACACTTCTGTACCTTTGAAGGGGGAAATAAGGAAAATTAAATGTGTATTTGATATAGCTTCCTTCTGTTACTGCTCAAAGGTCAAATTTGAGCATTCTGAAATTCGTGGTCTGGTGTCAATAATTGAAAATCTGCATCAGAATTCATAGTCCATCTCCAGAATTACTTATTTTAAAACATTGCTTTTTCTCATGCATGACGTTTACTCCAGTACTCAAAAGTTCAAAAAGAAAGGTTTTGCAAGTTCATCAGTGCTAATCTTGGTGGCATCTTTCAACCAACCATTTGAAGAATAAGCACAAATACATTACAGTGAAGTGGAATGAACTCACTGTAAGGAGATACCCAGCTTACTGAGTCTGTCCACTACCAGCTTGTTTTATGAAAAAAAAAAAGTTAATTTCTCTAGAAGTCACTCTAGAAGTGAACTCTAAGGAAGCTTGAAAACACTCCAGGCAGCAGAAAATATTTATTTCTGTTCATATCTCAGAGCAGAAACCCCCTTTTATTTCAGCCTCATCTTTGAACTAAATTCATGGCAATCTTACATTTTTGTTACTGTCTGTTTTGCAACAATAATGTAGCAACAATTCCACACGTTTTGACCTGTATTTCTTCTATTTCTTCTTAGGCTAAATACGGCTATTCTTCAAGCTATTCCAGGTATCCAGTCAAAAATGGTTTCCTTCAAATCCATAGGCAAACATCTCCAACCCAGTGACAACAGTATCCAGTTTGAAACTTGATCCCATGTATTCTTTGTGAGTGTGAATAAGAGCTTTGCACCAGACACCCCTATGGGTTTTACCCACCTGCAAACTGCATTACGTATTTTTCAGTCAACGTTTTCTGCTGAAAATGTACGAAGAGGGGCCTGAACTACTGGTACTGTGTGACAGATTAAAAGGAGGAGATGCAAAAAGAGATGTTTTTGCAGGTGCATTTTGACCTGAAGTAATTTCCATACCTTCATAGCCCTTACGTGTATCTGTGGATACAGAGCAATGTACAGAATATAAGTACCAGAAGTATACTGTAAGTACAGGATCATACTTGGGTGTCAGGGAGGGACAGAGGCCCCAGAGGTTGAACAGGGGGTGATCAGAAGGCAGGGTCTGCAAAGAGCATAAAACCCCACTTAAAACTCTCCTGAAACAGAACCTCCACAAAATAACCAGAACTGGTCCGACGGCATTAGCAAGCAGCTGCAAAACCCTCCTGTCATCTCCAGAAAACTCTGAAATAAAGTCTGTGGCAGTCACCAAAGCTCTCCAGTTCAAGAATGCTGTGTTTGTTAGACGCAGTTGGGGTGTCTGTCATGGGTGAAACTCTTCCGGTGGATTTTGCTTTAATGCAAGCTCAAACGTGGCCTGACTTCTCCACATTCAGACCTCGGCTGAGGCCTTCTCCCGATGTAAATTTTGTTGCTCCTTTGATCTACTCTGCTACTTACTAAGAAATAAATTTCTCCTTCCCAAACTTGACACGATTTCCGAAGATTTATGCACGCTGAAGCTGCTTCACTTTGTGCCCGAGGGGGTGTCAGTGTATACAGCACACGAGTAAACACACGGAGGTAAAAGTGGCTTAAATTTTGTGCTGTGCCTGGTGGAGGCAAGCATGAAGGCAGGGGCGTGGAAGGAAGGTTCCTACCCTTTCTCTCACCACCTGTGCCCCCGTTTCCCGCCTGCCGGGTGTGCCGTGGGCTGCAAACCAGCCACCAGCACGGCTCTCATCTTGCCGCACTCAAATTAAAAGCCTCTCCTGTGCAGATTAATGCAAACAACTAGTTTTTCATCAGTGTCTCAAATTTCCCCCTTTAAATTGCAAGGAAAGCTGCCCAGCTGAGGGCCTTGTTTAATCAGGAGTTGCTGCTCAGCTGTGGCAGTTGCTCCAGCAGGAGAAGGGCATCTCATCCCAGCCCTCCGTAGCGTCTCTCTACCCCAGAGCAGATCCACACAACCGGCCCTGCTGCCTTGGTCACAGCAGGCCACGATTCCAGCCACGAGGAGGAGGACAGACGTGGCTGAGGTGCTCGTGCAGATCCCCTCCTGCTACCAAAATGGTGGGGGACCCACCGCAGGAACGTCGTGCCCTTTCCTCAAAAGAGCTTTGAGATAGCCCCTCATGAAACCGAAGCCCGCCTTACCTGTGGCTGGGAGCTGTGCCTGGAGGGCGGCAAGGATGGCGATCCTCCTCCACTTCATCTTGCTCGCCGGGACAGTGCTGTGGGAGCAGGAGGCCGCAGGCACGGAGGAGAAGCGGCTCCTCCACGGGCTCTGCTCGTGTGCCGCCGCCGCCACAGGAAGCAGCTCACCCCCTATGAGGGCTTTCGGAGTCCACCTGCCGGCTTCCTCTGCCTTCACAGCCTCTCAGGGCTGGGGTTTGTATTCTCGGTGTTGATGTTTGGGGTTTCCTTTTGTATTTTTATTCACCCTTTTGCTCTTCGCGAGATGGTTTTCAGTGGGGTGGTTTTTTTCCCACTTTGTCTGGTGCTTCCTGAGTCATCCCCAGTCGGCAGCTGCTGGTCTCTGTACCTGGTATCCAGTTTGGCCTGACTTCAAAAGGGATCTATGTAACTATTCCCACCGTGCAGCACACGGCATAAATAGCAGTTTAAAACTGGAAGCTACAAGTCGCTCTCGAACAATAGCTGGTTAAACTGGTACGGATGTAAAGCTCATTTCTAAATTTAATGGAAATACAGCTTTGCCACGAGCAACTGGAAGCGGCTGCGCTCTGAGGGCCGTAGGGTGGACAGCACCAGGGAGAGCTGGGCTTTGCCTGTCCTTGCAGACAGCACTCACAGGACATAAAATACCAGCTCCGCTGGCCCTGCCTGGCTCTCTGCAGTGGTACCTATCTCTGAAATGCAGATACCTTTTAGTGTGAACACGTGGCACCTTTGTATTTTGAAGGGGTGTCAGTGCCTGCAGAGCTCGAGGGCCATTTTGCCCCCGAGTCCCCACAGCCCATAGGGAGCAGAGCCTGTGTCATCCCTGTGGGAGAGCACAGTGTGCATCTCTCCCTCACTCTATTTGGAACAGAAAGCCTGGCAGCCTGTAGCTATGCCTGACACTCCTACCTGCTGAGCGGGCCACGGGATACAACCTGCCTGCTGCTTGGAGCTGTCCTCCAGTGACAGATCCCGAGGAGCATCGGCACACCCCAGGAGCGGGATGAGTGGTCTGAAGGTGACTGCAGTCTGGGAGATAACAAGGTTTTTCAGCCCCATGTTGCAGTCCTTGGAGTGACAAAACCAAGCAGGTCTGCCCAGCAGCCACGTGGGAGAAGCCTGGCTTCCCACAGCTCCGTTTTGTCCATCCAGCACGATGGCTGCAGTGATTCCCACGTTGCCCTAAGCCCCTGCCACCCCCTTGGCTCTCCTATGCCTGCCTACATGGGGCAGGTGGCTGGGATCCATTTAGAGCAATAGAGCAGGGAAAAAGCCCAGCATAACAAAATGAAACTAAGAAAAGTGAAATCTGGAGTTTTTTTCTAAAACTTCCTGAGGAGGAGGTATCAGACAAGTCATTTCTCAGCAAAGCATGTAGGGCATTTACATGAAAATCACACAACTTGACACAGTTGTTCTTTGTAAGAAATCTCACATTATATTGCTCTTTTCAAATGTGGACAAATAAAAATTTCCATTTTTATTAACAACAACAACTAAAAGCTCATTTTAAACAACCATGAATTAGAAAAGCTTGAAAATGTTAATTAGATGAACCTTAAGGCCTAAAGCTCAGCCTCACTCCCATTAAAACACACCTAGCTCAACAGAACACCAAGTGTTTAGTGTTTATAACAGCAGTACTACTAATACACTTCAGGATCAGGGCTTAGGCTGAGAGGAAGCACCAGTGTGTAATTGAATATTTTTTCCCCCATTTCTAATTCTTAGAAAAGAAAGAGGAATGTGCATCTCCAGCAGGTACAGGAACAGGGCTGGTGATAACAATTTCCCAAGAGTATGGCAGCGTGAGAGTTATTGTGTACACATGAAGTAAGTATTTATAATCTTTTGAAAGCAAAGTAAATTGAAGTTCTTGGAGGAAATTCGTCACCTTGCTGTCTGTAGTAACAAAGGCTTTGATAAAACCATCCTTTCCTTTTATGTAGTAAATACCGTGCTAGTCAACACAGAAGTTACTAGACACTAGTATTACTCCAGCACCCAAAACCTAGTGCAGCATGTCATCCTGTGATACCTAGACAGTACTGCTGAGCCTCTGCTCTCTCCCCAGCCTTGGGGAGGGTTTTCTTTGTGGTTCTTCTACCCCGAAAGCTACAAGGAAAGGCTGGAGACGGGCTTTGAGTCACCACCCAGCAGAAAGCAAAGCACAGCCCATGAGAGCTGCCATGCACTAAACCTGAAAAAGGTGTCATTAGTCCCAGAAATGGCTGTGCTCAGGTACATGATCTATATTCCAACACAAGCTGGATAAAGCCCTTTCTGTCCACTCCTCTGTGCAACAGAAGATTGGCTGAAACAAGGAATTAGTGAGCAGGAAAAGACCCCTGCTCTCACTGCAGGCTGCCTAAATCTCACAGTCGTCTTATCCAAAAGCCAAAATAATATCATCCTAGTTATTGATATTTTTGGGTAACGGTATTTTCAGAGGAGCAGATGGCACTGCTCATCACTATTCTGCTGACCCCTGTCTCCTCCTGTTATTGATCATAGCTTCTCCCTCCGGCAGAAAGCCAGCAAATTATCACTTTGAATAAAGAGTTGAGGCCAAAGGTAAGGAAAAGAAATGAAGAGCTGTATAAGAAAGGGAGATTAATGGCAACAGCAGACACACTGGGAGAACAGCAGTTGGGCCAGTGTGGTTTGATGTCTAGATAGGGAAAGGTCAGAGGAATGGAGTATATGGACTTCAGTTGGAAGTGTGGGTAGTCAGAAAAAGGCTTTGCATGACAGTTCTCCTAGAAATTCTCACCTCCCCAACCCTCAGCTCTTGAAATAAGACAAGCTTATCATTATAATTTAAATACAATGAAAGTATACAAAAGAGCACTCATTCTTGTATTATGAGTTATTCACACCACAAGCATGGCATGGGAGATGCAAATCATATGCAGTCAAGCAGTACAGGAAAAGAAAAAAGGGAAGTGGTCTCCTGGAGAAAGCTTTTCTGTGTTCACACAGCTTGCAATTACACAGTGAGGAATTGTTTGCTCAGAGTGTCGCCTTCTTTTCAGCCTGTCTATTCTTTGCATCTCTAGGAACTACATAGCACATAAAACCTTCGGCATCTCCTGCCACATTGTGCATTGGACAATCTCACACAAGCATTTTTACCAACAGTTTAAACCATACTGACATTTCAGTTTACTCACTTCACTCAGACCGTAAGAACTTCGTTAACCCTGGACTAGAAATGAATGCCAACCTTAGTTCAGCTGAACCAGAAGCTATTTTTTTCAATACAGACAAGGCCACAGTGGAAACATAAAACCCTCCCTGCTGCGTTAAAAAAAAAAAAAGCTCTCAGCTAAACTTGACTTTTTATCTAAACATACAGGTGGAGGAAAGTGCATTTCCAAGAATTACCTGCACTGGGAAGACTGCAAATATTTGATCTGTGGTTCCTGAAACAGAATGGGTGAGGGAACTGAAGTGGTCCCCAAGTACAACTCAGTGTGTTTAATGCTGGTTAAGGTGCAGCTCATTATCTGCAAGGATAACATCTTTCATAAAATAGTTAAGGTACAACAGCTTCTGTGCATCCATAGGCCATTCTTTCTCTGGACACAAGAAATCCTGGAGCAGCTCTAATTCAAGGGGCTGATTCATCCCTAGAAACATTCCCTTTTCACGCTTACTGGTTATGCTTTGACACTGCTATAAAAAAAAAAAGCAGCAGTGTTTGCAGTTTTAACAGGAAATAAATGAAAACTAAAAAACAAACCCACACCACAGTCAAGCTGAGGATTAAAAAAGTAACTACACACTGCCCTCTGGCTCATGTGTTGCTACCACAGAGATATGCTGTAATCATCGCTGCAGACTGCCGGGATTGAGCACAGCTCAGTTATCAGAAGCTCTCCTAAGCCTGTTTGATACAGGTAGTACTTGCAGGCAAAATTAATTCCTACATCACCTGATGGAGGAGCTGACCAACTTCAGAGACAGGAGCATCCAGACAGACTGCAGAGTCCTGCCCCTGATCCAGCAGGGAGTGACACTTGGCAGCACCGTAACCAACCCAACAAGTATTAAGAACATTTCTGGAGATGTTCACGTGAAGATAATGGGTGTTAAATAAGCAACAATTTTCGCTGGTGGGCAAGCTGTAGCCTCCAGTCAGACATGCCATTCATGCAGGAGACTAATACACTGAAATGGTCTGCTGTTTGTAGTGTGTAAGCCCACAATTTTTATTGACAAAACGCTGCAGACTGACAGTCCTGCACTGCTTCACTGCATTTCAATGCACTGTAGTGCCTTACACTCTAGCTTCGATTTGCCATAATTGGGTTCAACTGTGCTAATCCCCTTGGAATGCAGCAATTAATACTTATTTAGTGATAATTGCTGCATTCCGAGAGGATTAGTCCCTGCCCTGCACTTTTGCCAGCATTGCAAATGGAGAGCTGGAAAGAAGACAGGTCTAACTACAGGTCTTGCTTTGGCAGCTCCCAACAGGGAGGCAAGAGAAGCTGGTCTTGCTATGACTGCTCCCCTCTGTGTATGAAAATACTACTTTTCTGAGGAAAATCCACTTGACTGTCACCACTCCTTGCAGCTGCACTGAACAAATAGAAACCCTGACACATGCAACAAGAGGGAAAAAAAAATCCCCAAACATAAAAAGGAACACCTGTGCAGTACCATAAAGACAAACACAGCCATGAGCACGTTTCCTATGGGATGTTATCAACAGGCCCTGGTGTGGTGCAAGAACAAGTTTCTATTCATTATTTTGAGGATTTTTGTGACTAACCATTTCCTGTTCCTGCTATGGTCTTAAAATTTTCAGTGCAACAAGGGTTTTGGAAACCTCTAAAGGAGTTGTTAGTAGAAAGTTAAAATACACGCTCTTTGCATGCTCAGTTTTGAGACTCCTGAATCTGTATTGTCCAATTCTTTCCTCTCCAATGAAGCCTTTATGATCTGTTCTGGTTTATTATTTTTTTTAATGCACTCAAGAGAGCGCTGTTTGTGTCATATCTTAAGAAGGAAGAACAAGGCTTCTTTTCCTTCAGGCTAGTCAAACTGAGCTCTCTTGCATCATCAGCATTTTCACCTGTTAATTGCAGGTGAATTTCC